AGTAACTTTCACCTGTGGGTGACACATTCCAAATTTCTCCATGCGTCGGAACAGACTGATTAGGTCAAGCACTTCAACAGCCCATTGTACTCTGTACTGGTACTGCAGACTTACTGCTTGAGGCTGAGTCACTGGCCACTTTGACCTTTTTATTTCATTTTATTTATTTTTTAAGACAGGGTCTTGCTTTGTAGTTCAGGCTGGTTCTGAACTCACTACGTAGCCCAGACTGGCCATGAAGCGATCCTCCTGCTGGGATTACAGATGTGCACCACCACACCTGGCTGTTTTATATTATTTATTCATTTATTTACTTATTTATTTTAGTGCAGTACTGCAGATTAAACCCAGAGTTGTCACTAGGCATTTTTTTTTTTTTTTTTTTTTGGGATGGGGTCATGCTATGTTGCCTGGTCTAAACAGGAACTTAAAATCCTCCTGTCTCAGCCTTCCAGAGTGCTCTAAATCATAAAGAGAACCAGTTATGAAGAATCTTTTCCAAAACCCTTCCCGAAGAAAAAGTAAGCTGAGTTTCCATTTGTCCTCCTAAAAGGGATTTGTTATGAATTCATTTGATTGTAGAAAATTTGGAAAACATATAAAAGAACTAAGCATATTAGATTACTCAGCCCCACACAGAAGACTGGAAAGTCCTGAAGACTGGAAATTGAGACACACACACAAGATTGAACATGAAATACAAAGAATCCTCACTTCCTGCTAAACAGTGGCAGAAAGGCTGCGAAACTTGTTCAGCGAGGCTCTGGTTCGCGGTCCACAACTCAGCCTGCAGCCAACTGTAATCAGAAACGTGGCAGCTGCCTGCCAGCACCTTCTGCTGCTGCAGCCGGGCTCTGCCAGCTTGGCCCTGCAAGCCAGGCTCGCTAATGGCCCTGCACATAATTAGATGCGGAAGCGGAGCTGGGAGGATTCAATAATCAGAAAAATAAATACAGCAGCAGCGCATCCTCTGCGAGACGGAAATCAATAGGAGGGCTCTGAGGGCCAGGAATAAAGATATTTCACAGGCTCAAGCTGGAAATGAAAGGCAGGGCTCAGGCAGGAGACTCTGGCCCTTCACATGGGAGCCCGTACAAAAGCAAACAGCTTGAAAACCTAGAGACTGCGGTTCCATCAGGGCGACAGGCCACATGCATTTCAAGACAGAAGCACACAAGCAGGTTTTAAACAAACATCTTGACCGCAGCCATGCACTGGGCACAAGAAGCCATCAGGCCCTCCCCAGGAAGCGTGCGAACAGCCAGGGGGCCACGGTGGGTCTGTCACACTCAGCGCAGTGTGCAGGTAAACCCAAGTCAGAGAGCAGGTGCGCCCACCAGGAGCCCCTGTCTATGAGGCTTTTATTCCTTTACACAAAGCCCTATTTCTTCTACTTCCATGTCAACATCTGTCTTTGATAAAAGTGTTTTCAGGCATCAAATTACATCTAATTTGCTGCGACTAAATGTTTGCAACCCACAAAGGCCTGAGTGCCTGTGGAAGGTCTGGGGGACCCTTTGTCTCTTCCCAGCACCCCCAGCACCTAGCTCCTGGTGTGCCCTAAATAAATCTTTGTTTAATGAACCCTGTGAATAAGACACATTCAAAGGATAGAGATCCGTAAGATCCCTGGAAGAAAGCTGTCTCCATATGCTAAGTAGCTGGAGGCCGGCTGCCCTGGGTCAGATCTTGAAACCTGATTACTCAAAGCTGCCATCTGTCACTTTTTCAGGGACTTGCAACATAGCAACAGTTCACAGGTCTGTAGGTACCGCACTGATCTTGTCTACATCTTAGCCTAGTTGCTCAATATCTCCAAGGAATAAAGTTTCTTTGTTCTGAGAAAACAAAAGCATTACAATATATAAGTCTCTGCGCCTGCAAAATGTGTACTCTGCAATGATGAGGCTTCTCTGTAGTTGCACAGATGGGAATTTAAGCACCGACTCTAGACAGAAGAAAAAGTAGGAGGGCAGGTAACTGGAGGTGGGTAACTCAGGAGAAGGAAGGGTTCCAGCGGTTCCATGGAATGACCCGTCATGGTGGGACCTCCCAGGAAGGTGACATTAACAAAGCCTGGTCAGCAGTCACAGAACCTGTCACCGTCCTAGGTCCCCAGGTCATGGACCAGGGCTCAGCCCTCTGCAGGTCCTGACTAGGGCCAGGCCCCTGGCAAGGAAGAAGGGGGAGTGGATGCAGCGTCCACTTGCCCTGTCCCCAAGGCAACTACACACGTCGGGGACAGCGCTCACCTAACCTGTCATTAGGAAACCTGTGTTCTGACCCCTAGGCTGAACTTCCGCCCACACCGTTGGGCAGAGAATACACGCTAAAAAAGCAAACCAGAGCCAGTAATGAGGGGGAAATCAAGTAAAATTACAATTTAGTAAGATGGAACGGAGGTAGCTTGGCAGAGGCACCTTCCTTCCTCAGACTCACAGACATCTCAGGATTTTGAGTTTTCTCTCAGGAACTGTGATGGTGAAATCTGATTGTTCACAGCTTCCCATTTAGGAAAGCCTGCTGCAGCCTTCCAGATCCTGAACCCCCAAGACAAAGCCAGGGCCCAGTACTTGTTTGCCAAGTGCACTGACATCAGAGCCGGGCCATGGCAGCCCTGGTCATGCCATGCTGATACCTGGCTCTTCGGGGTGCTCGGTGCTGGGGAGGCACCCACTGAAGTAAACCACGTTGAAGCCTTTGCTGGGTACAGGATCCCAAGGGGCAAGTGGTGTTACAGAGAAACGTAAGTTGTTAGAGCAGTAAGAATGGAAACAAATGCCAGAAAAATCTCCCCTTGACTTCACCATCTCAACCAATCCAACTCAAGTGTTTTCATGTTTCTTTCGGTACTGGGTAATATTTCTTGCAGGTAGAAAAGCAAGGAGGTAGGAAAGCAGCATCTCAGCATAGGACCAGGTTCTGTTCCCACTGCTTTGAGAAGGTGCCAAACACTTATGGTTTGGCCCCACAGGAAGCCCCAAAAGAACGCAGTCCATCTCAACTCCAGAAGTCATCTGTTGCTCTAGAGTCACAAAGCCCTGAGTTCAAATCTTGACCCTGATTGAGGCTTTCCCAAGAACCCTCACTGCCACCAGGCCCAGCATCCTCAGGTGTCCCATGAAGATACGGACCACCATGTAAGTGTGCAAAGACCCAAGCCAGCTCACCTGTTGCACAATGAAGTGTGTCCCTCCCCGCAAGAATATGCTGAAGTCCTAATCCAACATCTCTAAATGTGCATTTTAAAATAGACCCACTGCAGATGTAAATGTGAAGAGGAATAAATCTTTTTGGTTTTTCAGATTAGAGGAGTTTTATTAGAAATAAGAGTAGCTCCTGGATTTCCAGGAGAGGTCCAGAGTGGGTGGCCACATGGCCCCAGATAAACAGGGCACAGGACGTGCTTGATGGTTTAATGGCCCCATCAAAGGGGCTCTGTGGACTCAAAATGACCGGCTAGACCTCAGGCTTCTAACACAGTTCTTCAACACGTGGGGTTTAAAGGAAATTAGGAATCTAGAGAACAAACAAAACTGATTATTTTGCACTTAAGCTCGAAGAACTCAGGCACTCAGTAGGGAGCAGCTGTACCTCCCTTTCGTAGGGAAGAGAAATAAATCTAAATGTGATATGACATTACATGGGAGTTAGACAGCCCCTAAAGCTGCTGTGAGGGCATCCTGTGAAGGTGACCACATGAAAGGAGCCACGAAGGGGGATCCCCACATCCCACAGAGGAAGGGGCTGTGTGGCTACAAGAACCCCAAAGATGCAAAGCAACCAGCAGAGACTGGAAGAGGGAACAAAGACTCCCTTCCTGGGAAGAGTAGCAGCCTTCGGCTCCCCAGGTCTGCTCTGTTCTGCGCCTGCCAGTTAGCCACACTTAGTTACAGCAGCGAGCTCTACAGACACTCCCACAGAGGGCAGCCCGCCTCCCTGCCACCTCCCCAGACTGCACAAGAAGCTTCTATTTACCAGGTGTTGACACTGTGCTCTCTGTCTCTCAATCTCTCTCGCCTACTGCCCTGATTTGCCAAGCATCCCAGAACAGCAAAGGGTGAATTCAGGGAGGAGGGACCACATATTCAAAGACTACATTAATTGTTTAGCAAAAAAAAATCATTTACCTTTTAGAAAGGGTGGCCAGGTGTGGTGACACACACCTACAATCTGAGCACTTGGGAGACCGAGGCAGGAGGATCACTGTGAGTTTAAGGCCAGCCTGGGCTATGTAGTGAATTCAAGGCCAGCCTGAACTGCATAGTGAGGTCCTATCTCAAAACAGCAACAAAAAATTCGGCTTAGAATTTCTCTAATTTGGCTTAGAATTTTAGCTCAGTGGTTCCATCGCCTGTCTCACAAAGTAAAGGTCCCGAGTTCAATTCCCAGTACCAAAAAAGGAAAAAAAAAAAAAAAACCCCACAAAAGAATTTCTCTGAGGGGACAGGGGAGGGGTAAAGCCAGTTTTAGGTAACATCCTCTTTGTCCCCACGAACACAGCTTGAATTTGCTAAGGTTTCTGAAACAGCAAATACTACCCTGATCATACTTGGCACAGGGAAGAGTCAGGAACAGCATTGCCCCAGCCCACACCCTAGGGTCACAGATGTCACTGGGTGGGCTGGGTCCTGGCCTCTGCTGGTCGTGGACCCCTCAGGTGATCACAACGCACACAGCGGAGATGGCCAGCGCCATCCTGAGGGACCTGCAGCTGAGCCCCCACTCTCCATGCACACCTGTGTGAAGTCCCTGCAGCCAGGGAGAGGGACAGTGGGACACAAGCCACACTAGGTACGACAATATCACACCTGCCACTTTTCCCCCCAAGGGCCCAGCCATCCATCCCACCAGACTCAGAAGAGTCTTAGTGCCTGGTTCCCTCCCTCTTGGATCCCTAGGTCACCTCCTGGCAGCCTGGGCTCCACCCTGAGATCACACACCATAGGTCTGGGTGCTGTCAGACTCAGGTGGTGTCACAGGCCTCCCAGACCACACACCTGCTGCCCTTCTCCATCGCTGCCTCTGCTCTGTCCACATGGCTCTTTCGCAGTGGGTCCTGGATAAAGACTGGTGACTCCTCCTCAGACACACCACACACCCCAGCCAAGCCTCTGCTTTATCTGCCAAGTGCAGGGGAGAGTCCTCCCCGCTGGTCACGGTATGGACTGGACACAGCAGGCTGCCAGGTAGGAAGCTGTCCCTCTGCCACAGGGCGGACGGAAAGCTAAGCATGCTAGAGTCGGTGTGGGCTCAGCCTCCCTGGGCCTTCACCCAGGGTCACAGTCCAGAGGGGATCCCTGACCCCTGCCATAGCCCACACCAGGGCAAGGGAGTGACATGACCACTCTTATCTTCTCTAACCAGCCCCCTGGAGACCCCAATCCTGCCCCAGTGGTCCTGCCTCATCGGCTGCCCCACTCACAGCATCTGCCCACACCCGGCCACCCTGGTCCTGGCCTGCATCTCTGCTGCACACTGAACACACGCTATGCGTGCTCCACCCGGTTCTCAATCCTGCCCGAGTGCTGGAACCCCTGGGAGCTCTGGCAACCCTACTGCCAGAGTGGCTCACAGTCTGGGGGTACCCAAGACAGCTCCCAGCAGCTCGGCTGGCTCTGGAAACCACAGGGTCCCCCCGGTGTCCTGCACAGGGGCCCTTGTGACCACATGGAGCCGACCACTAAAGTCTGCTTAGAAGAACATGACGCACAGATGAATCAGCGAGGGCTACGCCACAAGTTCAAGACCAGCCAGCGCTACCTGGCGAGACCCCGACTCACAAAACCAAATAAATAAAGCAAAAAAGTTTGTGCGAGAACACTGAGGTCAAAACAGACGTGTAGCAGCGACACTCCAAGAAAGTGCCGGGAAAGAAAAAGGACAGAGAGGAGCGCCAGGACAGGAGGAGCTCAACAGATCCGGGACCCTCGGGCAGCTGACCCTGTCCAACCTCAACAACTACCAGCCAGGGCCTGGGCCAAGGCCACAGCCTTAGAAAGGAGGCCCTAGAGGGCATGTGCACACTCGTGTGTACACCCGCCCCCACACACGCCTGCCTACAAGGGCGTCAGAAGCACACAAGGACCCCACAGCTACAGGGTTTCTCCATTATCTCCTCCTCTTTTCCTGCTGCTCTTCTCCTCAGCCCATCAGAGAGTCCGCAGCACAGCAACACGGAGCAGGGGTGACTTGAGGGTACTGAACTGCCGAAGCTGACATCCTCAAAGAACAAACCCGACCTTCCTCGTGGAATATATCCACGCTCTCTTAGCAGGAGCGCTGTGACGGAGCGAGTGTCAGAGAGTGTTAGAGAAAAGGGACTCAGCAGTACCTTACTCGCTTCTTCATGGCGCCGTGACCGGCTGTGCCTGCTGGAACACAATCATTTCAGGACCACCTGGCAAACAGCCAAAGAGAACCCCAGCAGCAGCCAGGCCATCCCGACACTGCCGCACTCTCCACACCCCTATCTGGGAGGGGAGCACAGTCAGACTCTGGCTCTGCGAGGCGGGGCAGCTGGCACCTGGTCACACAGCAAGTGAGCCACAGTGACAGCTGCCACCCCTGCCCAGGGATGATGTCCCCAATGCAGCCTTCACCACAGTGCTTGATTGGTGGCCAGGGCACCTCAGGGACCAACTGGTGTCCCCTGCAGGGAGACCCAAGCAGCAGACCAGGGCTGCAGAGGCCACTGACCCAAGGGGAAGGGAAGAGTGCTTGGGAGGTGAAACCATGGGAGAAAGCAACACCGCATTCATTTTCTAACTTAAAGAACTAAATTCTGACTGAAAACAATCTTAAGACCATATTAACAGTTATGTTACGTTTCACTCCCAGGAGGGCAGCCCCTGCGATAGACTGATGCCATAAATACTGTGCCTGCAACCAAAATAAGCTCTTGGACTACTCAAGATTTCAGTTGCTAAAGGCTTGAAAATCAATGGAAAACCAGGCATGGTGGCGCACGCCTGTTCTCCCAGCTGCTCAGGAGATGGAGGCAGGAGGCTCTGGAGTTCAAGGCCAGCCTGGGCAACTTAGCAAGACCTGTCTTTCAAAAAAATCTCATCCTGACAGACAAAAATATAAAAATAAAATCAACTTTAAACAAAACAGCAGTGCCCGGGTGTTAAAAACTTATGTCTTTTACCAGCCTTCAGCTCACAGCAGCACCACAGGCGGGTCAAGGTGTGGTGTGTGCAGGACAAGGTGTGGTCTGTGGCCACTGTCGTGGTGGCCCCTGCAGGACAAAGCAGAGGCTCAGCTGGTGGTGCAGCCACGTGACCCAGCTGTGAAAGGTGCTGAACACAGCACAACACCCAGGGCGATGGGACCACAACTGCTGCTACCAGGCTGAGCGACAATGCGCAGGACTCGGAGCAGGCCGTGACCAAAAACTCAGTGCCACTGCCCTCCCGCTGACTGCTCAGGCACGCTCCACGACAGCCACAGGCTGCTGGAGTCACACATCAACTCCAGCTTCCCCTTGTAATCCCAGGGACAGCCTGAGCGTCTGCACCTGGGCTCCGGCCACACTCCCTGAGAGGGAACAGTGTCCGTCCAGCCAGCCTGCCAGGCTGCAGATCCACCTCCAGCAGTGGAGTGCCCCAGGGTAAGAAATAAAGCCTCCCTGAGAACACTTCCTTTCCTCCTGGGGCTGCAGCCCCGGCATCTCTCATACCTGCCAGAAGCAGCAAGAAAAAGGAGGCTCGGGATCCAATCACAATGCCGGCAACAGAAAATAGCTGAAAATGTCTTCCGTCCCTCCCACACTGGTGAAGGATCTTCACGGCATAAGCAGCACCGCTCGCTGTGCTATGCGCCTCAGACACACTCAGAGGCTACCATGGCTGTACGAGAAGGTTTGCATGTTTCCTAAAAGTCATTTCTAGAAGTCCCCCAGGCTTCTCTGCAGGCTAACCAAGAGGAAAACTACCACATTTCTATTCCCAGAATAGCACTCAAAACACTTTAAAAAAAAAAAAAAAAAAAAAAAAAACTTCAAGTTTGAGGGACTCTTCATGCTAATTCCGTATATAACCTGCTGATTGAGCGCAGAAATCTACCTGGCCAGCTCACCCACAGCCCACCCAGAGCTGAGAGGTGAGTAAGGGCTGTTCCCAAGCACAGAGGACATTATCATCACAGTCACCCCACCATGAGCCAAGCCTCAATTCGGGGACGAGTTGCCATGGAACTTTTTCCCTCCAGTTTTGAGGCCCTGATCCCCATGGCGGTGCCAGCCCCAGTTTATCAGCTTCCAGGGCTCTCAGTCATTGCTTGGAAAGCTACAGCCAAAGAGAGGCGAAGGGGATGAGTGGGCCCGACCCTACTTCCCAGCATCAGAGACTCGGCAGGATTTCTACCTCTGGGGGCCCCACCTGCACGAGAGCCCTGGAACCCAGCAGTCAGTAACTAAACTCTCTTTGTGGTAAACAATCTAAGATCACCAAGGTTCCTAACAATTATGTGCAAAGCAATTTCCTCCAAGCAAGTGTATTTTTTCGCTTGTTTGAAAAACAAGCTCTCCCATGACAAGTGCACTCCTCCTCCAAACAACTGAGCAGCTTCCAGCCACTCCTCCGGCAGCGTTAGCCCTGGCCCACCAGGGCAAGCCAGGGAGCAGCACCTAGGGGAACCAGCCAGGGCCAGAGATGGGCTCCCAGTGCTGGGCTCCACACTTCTGAACCTGCTGTCCCTGCTACTCTCTTCCAAGGGTGGACAAGATGGGCTGTTGAGAAAACACTGCAGAGAACCTCACATTGTCCAGGACTTGTGCCCCGCTCTGGATGCCATTCTGACAGATTTCTGCAACACTTGCAGAGTCAGGAACTTGAGAGAATGTACAGAGATATTCACACACACACACACACACACACACACACACACACACACACACACGTGCATGCACACACAGGCAGACACAAAGCCTCTTTCCAGAAGTTTTATATCCACGAAGCACAGCAGAGAAAAATTTCTAAAATCCTGCCTTCTGTTCCAAAAGAAAGTCTTGTGTCAGCTTCTCAGCCTTACTTCCAGTGATCTTTTGCAAAAAGCAACCCTAAAAACCACAAGCCCACAGATCAGAAATAACATATGTCAGGCAACATTTCCTGTCTTTTCATACCTAACAATAGTGTGAAATAACTTGCAGAGCGGAGGTGTGGGAGCTTTTATGGTACAGCAGTGAGATGTAGTACCAAGAGGTTTAGGAGTACTTAAATGCATTATTTATAACTGTCACTTTCACTACGCCAGTGTGGCAGAGTAACCAATATTAATTGAATATACATTTACATTAAATACATGAAGTTCTGAGACTGAAACCTCCACTCTCCCGTCAACCACCAACATTTTAATGGTGGCATTGCCAAATGGTACCAATCCTGATCTCCTCCTCTTCTGCCCTTAAGGCTCTCTTTGGTTTTAATGCTTGAAAACAAGAATCCTGCCCGGGCATTTCTCCTGCACATAAATGCTTTGGGGTAATCCTTGCTGAATGTTGCATTACAGAGAGAAAAGATATCAGACTCTATGGTCAATGGCTTGGCAGACAGGATGGCTGCACTGGACCTCAGTTTACAAGCTGGAAGGACCAAGTGGCCCAGAGAAACCTTGATATCGGAACCCAAGAATATACATAATTTGGGGAACACAGTATGAAAGGTGTAACGTCACCCACAAACCTGTTGTGTCATGGTGCTAGCCAGCAATAGGTGTTTTCCTTTTTTAAATAAGACTAAAAGAAAAAAAGACATTCTAGGCTGGCTGTTCTTGCTTAGAGGACAGGAAGATTGGCTCCTGAATGATAAAGACACACAAGGTCAGGTGTAGACAGGGGCTACAAGCTGAGGTAGCTGGAAAAACACCAACTGTCTCTTCTTCCAAGATGGTTTCATTCTATTTCTGAGCCACCAAAAGTAAGGCACAGCACCACTGTCTTCTGGCCCTGTGGGTATGGAGGTGAGGGACACACGGTGGGGGACTGGATCCCCAAAGGTGCTGAAATACTGCAGGCTTGGCACCAAGCTTGAAACAAGGAATTCTGCCCCCACTTGGCCCTGAGGAAGCCTGGAAG